CATCTTGGACCTGACTACTTAAAGTATCTCATCACTCATAGATCATTAGTTTCAAACTCAGTGGCAAGAATCTCTCCCAATCTCTTTTTTATCATCATGTCAGGATCATACCATCTACATAGACAATAAGTATAGCCTTCTTACCTACCTGTGTATGCTTTATGAACAGTGTATGATCTGTTTGGTATTGGATGTACTATTAGATTTTATAATCTTGGCAAACTTGTCAAATTAAGCTCTTGGAGGTTATTTGAGCCTATAAAATGACCTTCTTAGTTTAAAACCAGATGTTTATTTGAGTCATTTTCAGTCATTGTGAGATTTCCATACACTTCTTCAAAATCTTATTCTAAAACACTTTCTTGATATTAAGTTGATGTTGTTCCTCCTCTTTGTTTACTATTAAGGAAGAATAACTCTTACAGCGTCTAACTTGATCACTGTGACAAAGGTCTCTTGATAGTCTATCCCATAAGATTGAATGAAACCTTTGACCTCCAAATTAGCCTTGAGCCTCTCGATACTTACATCTACTTTATACTTGACATTGAACACCCATTAGCGCTCAACACCTCTCTTATCTCAACACCTCTCTTATCTGGAGGAAGCTCTGTAAGGTTTATGTGGCATTTAGGTCAAGAACTTGGATCTTCTCTTCAACTTTCTTTTTTTATTCTTGACGTTGAAATTCTTAATGAACGAACTCGGGCATCTGCACGCTATCAAGATTAGATAAAAACACTTTAAAAGTTGATAATTGTGCCCCATATGCAACATAATCCTGTATAGGATAATTTGTGCAACTTTCATATCTGCTTCATTGGAGTCAACCTTCCTTGGTACTTTGAGATGTGTGATTTTAAGTATGGTTGTAAATAGTCCTATGGTTGCATATTTTCTTTATCATACTCTATGAATTTCTTTCGCCAACGATATACACGAAGTTCCTTGTCAATGTCAGGTTGAATGTTCTAAAGTGATGAATTTTGGGATACAAGATGATTAGAGGGTAGTAGAATAAGTTTTGGGACTCTAAACCGGTATGGGTATCTATAGTAGTGTTCCAAGTATGATATTCACCCCGACTCTCTTGAATATTAGATTTGGGGTAGTTGAGTTGGTTTTCAAAGAAGCTAAAATCCTCAGAGTTATAGTATTTAATCGTAATGAGAGAATAACACTTATACCCATTTTTGTTAGAAGCATACTCAAGAAAGATACATTTGATGAATTTTAGGTCAAATTTTGTGCGGTTTGGTTGGTAAATGTGGACAAAAGAGACATTAAAAAATTTTTAGATGAAGATTGGATGAGAAGGCTCCAACATGAGTATATTTTTTCATCACAATATTGAGTGGGATTTTGAATCTAAGCACTCTGATTCACAATCTATTAGTAAGGTAGGTAGTTGTGAGCCACAAAAATTTTTTTAGATATTTTGCGGATGCATTTTACACGTAGAGACCTCAAGAAGATGTTTATTCTTCCTTTTAGCAATTCTATTTTGTTGTGGAGTTTCAACATAGAAATTCGCATGGATGTTACCGTTCTTTGCATAGTAAGATCCAATGATAGTTAAAATATTCCTTTGCATTATTAGCTTTGAGGATTTGAATTGTGCATTCGAAGTGAGTGAAAATCATGTTATGCAAAGATTGAAATATTTCTGTTATTGCAGATTTTTTCATCACAAGGAATATCCAACTAGTTCTAGTGTATTCATCAATAAATTAGACAATATCTTTCTATTGATTATTTTCAATTTTGATGGTTCTCAATTGTCACTATGGATGATAGAGAAATGTTGTGAGAATTTTTACTGAGATAGAGGGTAGACATGATGAGCATGTTTAGTCAATTGGCGGGTTTCACATTGCTAAAACTTTGAATTTTCATTAATAAAGAGATGATACAATTTTGCAACAAAATGGAATTGGAATGACCCAAACGACAATTTCAAAATAAATTTTGACTTTCAACATACTCAAGCACAACATACTCGGGAACATAGAAAAAGGATGGTGAATAAGACACTTGTGTGTTAAGAGAATTTGTTAAGCATGTGTAGACCTTGATGCAATTCAGTACTTCTAATAACATTCCTCAAATCCAAAACTTGAAATTCACAATAGTTAAAATGAAATTTAATAACACAATTCAAGTCAGTAAGCTCTCTAATTGAAAGTTAGTTGCAATCTAATTGGTGGGTTTCACATTGTTAAAACATTGATTTTTCATTAATAAAGAGATGATACAATTTTGCAGCAAAATGGTATTGGAATGGCCCAAACGACCATTTCAAAATAAATTTTAACTTTCAACATACTCAAGCACAACAAACTCAGGAACATAGAAAGATGATGGTGAACAAGACACTTGTGTGTTAATAGAATTTGTTAAGCATGTGTAGACCTTGATGCAATTCAATACTTCTAATAACATTCCTCGAATCCAAATCCTGAAATTCACAATAGTTAAATGAAATTTAATAACACAATTCAAGTTAGTAAGCTCTCTAATTAAAAGTTAGTTGCAATCTAATTGGTGAAGATATATCACAAAAGAAAGCTGAATATTATTGAAGAGTTCTCATTTCCCAACAATCATTGAGCGAGACCAATCTGCAAGTCGTAACATATTTGGAGTTATGAGAGCATGAATATTCCAGTCATGTGATTCTCCAGTCGTGTGATTATAAGCACCCAAATCTATTGTCCAATGTCGAAATCTTCAATGATTAGTGAGATAAGAGGACATGATACCTTGGTGTATCATCAAGTTGGTAGGTTGTTTAGCTATGCTTGAAAGAAGTTTTGTCAACACCTTCAACTGCTCCTTGGTGAAGAGCTAGGGGACCCTTCAGAACAGGTAGCATAATGGGCCTTACTGTCTTGGTCTTTCCTCCATTGCCCCGGTTTTCAATTCATAGGTTTTTCATGTAGTTTCTAACATTTGTCCTTTGTGTGACTAAGTTTCTAGCAGCTCACACAAGGGATAATTCTTCTTTGGCTTTGGTTCATTGGAGGAGTTGTATGTGTACAAGGCGGAGCTTTTAGTACTATATGAATCAACATTTCTTCCCATCACTAGCTTTTTCCTATTTTCTTCTCTTTTGACTTCAGCAAAGGCTTCCCCAGTGGTAGGGAGAGGTTTCATCCCCATAATTCTTCCTCTAACTTCATAGTTCTTATTTAGGCCCAATATGAACTTTATTATCCTCTTCTTCTCCGATATTGTTTATACAACATAGCATCTTGAGGGCAGTTTCATACATAAGTATCATACATATCTAACTGTAGCCAATACTTTATAAGTGCGTTGAAGTATTGAGTTACACTTAACTCTTCTTGTCGGAGCTCATGTAGTTTTGTCTCAATCTCAAACAATTTTTACAATGTTTTCGATACTTGAATTATTCTCACGTGCTACTTATCAAATCTTTCGTGATGCTTTCTAAAACAATAAATTTTCTCAAATCTCTGTAGTCATAAAATTCATCAACTATGACATGTCCATGTGATCCTAAGATCTTTCATGAGTGATGGTTAGGATCAGTGAACTCGAAAACTGTGTCTTCTTCCGTGAAATGTTCCTCTTTTTTTTGTCATAAATAAACATAAACCTAAATTAGGAACATTGAAGGAAATTATAACCATTGAGTTTATGACTTGTGATAAATTGATAGAGTTATGGGGTCGTGTAGTATTCCTAGTCTCTAATTCCTAACTAATCTCCTGAGTAGAGCTGGATATCTTCATCTCGTATTTGGTCATAAGCCCTCCGCGTTTGGGATTGTTACTAAGGAACAAGGTCGATTGCTGTTAGGAAAAAGAGGAAGGTTGGTTGTTACTTTTGCAACCAAGGAACTCAGGAGACTAGCTATTTTTGCTGCAACTGGATGGATCCGACGGACGAGAGCTTGCAGTAGGGACGGTTCCAGCTGCAGGATGGATCCGATGGTGAAGAAAAACGAAGGAAGGTTGTTGGAGGGGAAAGGGAGCCGATTCCAGAGCCGATAGGGATTGGAGATGCCTATAGGGAGAAGATCGTAGTCTAGTGTTGGGAGAAGTTCCAAACGATGCAGTCGAACAATCCAGACTAGCATACGGCTTGGTCGAGCGATCTAGATGAGTGAACGGTGCAAAAGATGTATCCAGACAAGCGATCCAAAAGAGCGGATGACCTTAATGAGCGATCTGGACGAGCAAAGAAAGCAGACGAGTGATCGAGGCGGGCAAACGATGCCGTCGGGTGATCCAAATGAAGCTGAAGTCCGGATGATGCCGGCCACCCTTATTCCCTCGAGCTTGTCGCTCGGATACCATGTAGAAGGATGGAGAAATTGTATTCCCTTATTTCTCAATTATCAAATTACAACTCTTATCCTTATATAATAAGGAATGGCTTGGGCAAGATTAATTACAGGATACCAAAAATATATATATAACTCAAGAAGGAAAGAAATTTGACATAAGAAGGAATAAAAAAGAATACAACTAAGATAGTAAACTCAAAATTTCATACTTTTGCTAATGGTTAGGATTTCAGGAATGCGTTTAATATCTATGTAATTACAGTAAGTATTAGAGGCATTGAGGTCATTCAACTCGCTGAGAAAGGCTGATTGATGTTGTCAAAGTGTTATGCATAATATGATCTGTTGTTTTGATTTCTCGATCAGCGAAATAATTTTTTGGGAAGCAATAGTGAACCACAGGATCCAATTGAGTATAAACCGGATGTTCTCAGTTTTCTAGAATTGCAAAATATGCCAAAATCAAAATTCATTTTTGACAGGCATGAAGATGGCAGACAACCAACCCCAAATTAATTGGGTTAAGATTTGTGATGATGAGAATAATGATATTTCTATTGTTAGGATGCTCTGTTTTCCTTTAAACAGGCTCTTTTTTATTTTTATTTTTATTTATTTATTTATTTTTGCTATTGGCTGCCACTTTTAAAAATCCCATTTGACTGACTTTTGCCGTCCACTTTAGGTGCTTGGAACTGAAGAATTGAATTCATATCTTAACAAATATCGCCTGGAGCTTGACCCGCAACTTACAGCACTTGTTGGAAGGTTTTCATATTTCCTCAACAAATTTCAGTCCTTGAAGTTTGAAGCAAATATTTTATTTTCGCATTTTTTTTGTATCAGACATGGCAGAAAACCATGGACAAGGTTTATTAATGATGACAATCAGAATGTTGCCGTCCCTGAGGTGATCCTTTTTTTTTGTTGTTGTTGGGCGAAGGAGGGATTTTTTTGTGGCAAATAATTAAAATGAACTTTAACGGCTTTATCCTGGTCATATTTGGCAGGCCGTTGACTTCCTGGACAAATTGCTCCGCTATGATCACCAGGAGAGACTAACTGCTAAAGAAGCAATGGTATTTAAAATAAATTGTGTTTGTTTATTTTTAGATTTATCTCTTTAGCCAGGCAATTGCTCATGTGAATGCTTGTATTGTTCAGGCTCATCCTTATTTTAATCCAGTGAAGAGCGCTGAAAGTAGCAGGACGAAAGCATAAGTTGCTCAGATCCTGTTATTGTTGATTGAGTGCATTGTTGCATGGCGTTGTCTTGGATTCTTTGATGGTTCAGTCTCCCTATCCGCTTCCTAATTGGAACAGATGTTAGTGAGTCATATTCATTATTTGTATCTTTGTTGAATTTGAAGGATAGCGGGTTAATACTAATATCGGGCAACTGGGATGGGATATGATTGTGATATATAGTCTTGAGTTCTATTTTATAAAAAATTTATAGTATCTTTAGCTTGTATTTTCTTTTCATGCAAATTTCAGAAAGGTGTGTGTTTGTATGGTGACACTTCTAGGCTTTTAATTTTCACTTTTATTTGCTGTCATATCAGCTTGTTTTTTGAAATGGATTCAACTTGGCAAAAGCTATATTTTCTTGATTAATTATTTTATTTTATTTTTTGTAATCTTGAAGTCACGTTGATGATATCCTTCTTGTGTATAAGACGAGAGAGAATTTAAGAAAAGCTTGAATTATGGAGGTCAACATTAGGTCTAAAGGCTTTCGCTCAAGTATATCTAAAATTGAATACACTAAATCTAATGTAATAATATGTGATTAAGTCATTAAAAAGAGTGAACATTTTAGATTATCTCGAGTCTATTGTTCAAAGTGATGGTGATATAAATGGGGATGTTATTAGTAGAATTCAAGTTGAATGGTTAAGTGAATTATTATTAGGAGGAATGTATCGGGCATATTATGTGATAGAAAAGTATCGTTTAGACTTTTAAGGAAAATTTTGTCAAATGGTGGTGAGACCTACAATGCTTTATGACCTGGAATGTTGGCATGTAAAAGAAGCATACAATTAAGTAAAGTGTTGTTGAGATGAGAATGCTCAGGTTGATGAGTGGCTTTACACTTGTAGACAAACTACGCAATGAATATATTGGTGAAAGGGTTGGTGTAACTCCAGTGACAAACAAGATTAGAGAGAGTTGCCTTAGAAATGACCTTGTAAGGAGAGTAGATATTTTAGATTCTACTTATATTAAAAAAGTTAGAGGTAGACCTAAAAGGACTTGAGTATGTTGTATTAAAAATGATCTTAATTTATTAGAATTAAATGAAAATATGACACTAAGTAGGAAACAATGGAGAAAAATGATCCATATAGCCCATCCCACTTAGTAGGATAAATGCTTGTTGATCGTAGTTGTTGTTTTGTAATTTTAAATAATCCTCTACTTAGTTAAAAAAGGATTCTATATTTTAAGTAATGAAAAAAAAAAGATGAAAAGTCAAAAAGAAACAAAACTAGGAGGTACAAAGGACCTCTACAGGAACAACTGGCTTCAGAAGAATGAAAAAAATTAGCCACAAGACCCAAGTTAGAAGAAAAGTACCCCTGGCAGAAAGCAGCCAACCAGAAGAGTTATTGTACAAGGTTTAGTATAAGAAACATCATACAAGTACCATCCACAACAAGAAAAACCAAACATAGGGGCGACGAGGTTGAGGAGGCAGCAAGAGGTCGTGTTGCATGTGTAACATCATAGAACTCATGCAACTTCAAAACATAACTGCAGGAAGGAAAATTCCCGAGAAATCAATAGAACTTGAAAGAGATCAACCACGAGGCAAAAATCCCTCAAACGTTCCTATTAATTTTTTACCATCTTGTAAGAATAGTTTTACTTCTTTTAGGCCAAAATGTCTCAAGTTCTCACCTTCTCAATTCATGAGCCCCCTAGAATTTGACTTGTGAAAAGCTACTGTTGTTTTTTTGCTCTCCGTATAATATATGCATGCATGAAACAAATCAACGAATGATACTTTTTCTTAGCAGAGTGTGCATACAACAACAACAAGAAACCTTTATTTCATTAAGTGGGGTCGGCTACAAGAAGCCTTTTTCTCCATTTTGTCTTATTAAGTGTCATATTTTCATTTAATTCTCATAGATTAAGATTATTTTTATACAAAATGCCCAAATCTTCTTAGGTCTACCTCTACCTTTCTTAGCATTAGTCGAATCTAAAACATCTACTCTTCTAACTAGATCATCATATTTTTAACATTTAATGTGTCCAAACCATCAAAGATGACTGTCACTAATCTTGTCTACCACTAGGGCTACACTTTCACGGATAGATCTGTTTCACATTTTTTTCTCTAAGTGTCAAACCACTTATCCATCTAAGCATTCTCATCTCAGCAACAAGTGTGGGTGCTGTCTTGAGCGGTAGCAGCAACAAAGTTGACTGGACAGCGAGGAAAACAACTAACAGCAGCTAAGGGGTATGACGACGGGGATGTGGTGGACTACAGGACAACAAAAAGCTGTCTTGGACGACGGTAGCGAGGACAAGAGGTTGGATGGTGGGAAACTATTGGAAAACAACTAAGAGCTGATGTTTAGGTCAGCTGCAGCAAGTGCAGGCGACAGGGAGCAATGTGGGAAGGGCGGAGAACAGTATGGGGAAGGATAATCATTACACAGGGAGCGAGATGTATCCGGAGCACTACTTAACCCTTGGATACAATCCTAGACAGAAAATTAGTGACGCTGATGGTTGTCTCGAACAAACGTACGACAAAAACTCAAAATCCAAACCCTAATACAACACATAAATAGGAAATGACTATAAATGAAGGAAAGAATGGAAAGGAGGAAACTTGTAAAATAGAAAGAAACAATAATAAAGGAAATGACTGTTGCTTTTTCTGAGATTTGGGGAGCTTCGACTTCATTCATCGTCTAGTTGACCGCATTGAAGGTAAACAAAAATGTTGCAATCTCCCGGTAAGTTAATCATGTAAGTGTTGTCATTCCAAAACACATTTTGACAGAATAAGTATCTATCTTTTATTGGCATAACTTGCGCTGGAACTTCATATAGATTTTCATAAAGTAGCCCTCGAGGGATTAACTTTGTAATTCTCTTCCATTCCTTGGACTCGAATGGACGCATGCAATAAACAAATTTGTCTGGAAGAAATAACTCTAATAAAATCTATGGGTAAACTCTCTGTCATGATGTCTGGCAATTCCTCCCACAAGGGTTGTCTCGTTTCTAGTATCAGCTCCTCGGACTCGTGATCTTTAGAACAACTAAGGCTAATTCAGATGGAGTTTCTTTCATGGGCTCGGCTGGAATCACTATTGTCTCTTTCTCGTTGGCTATAAGTTGAGACTCATCCCAGGCGTCTTCATCCTCTTCTATTTCACTGTCTATTTTTTCAGTTGCTCTTTGCTCGGTGAAATAGATCATATTATTGTTTGGGCAAACCTGATACACTGTGTTCAAAACCATGCCATTTGATGCTTTTTTGGGTTGGGATGGATTTGGGAGTGTTGGTTGTCTCCGACCTGTTATCCATTATGAACTAGTTTTTTTCTTAGGCGAGATTAGCTTGGATGCTCCGTCGGGTGTACTCTTGTTGCTTGATCTTAGGGTTGAGCTCTGTCGGACAGATGTAGTGGTCACTCGATGATATTGCCTTGAGAGTATGTCCTGTCTGTAATGAACTGGTAAGTACTTGTACTATATCTCTTATTTCAACTTGGACTAGATAGTGATTTTTTTATTTTCATTTCTGCCGGCATAGATGCTTCAAATTTTCTTACCACGACATTTCTTTAACTTGATAACGACTAGCATTATTTTTTTCTGTTTGATGGGTTGTCTTGGCACTCAAAAAGACGTTCCACTGTCTGAAGCTACTTGATGAACTCCTTCGGATCCATGTGGTTGTCAAAATATTGCATGTCACTCTTCACTCCAAAATTCTTGCTTTCTTATTATACATGCCAAATCTTTGTGGTTTTGGAAGGGATTCACCTCATTCTTTCAATATGACAAATTACTGTTGTGGCTACGGATGACCTTTCTGGATTGTCTCTTTTTGAAGGTTGCAAGTCTCTGTTATCGTTGGAGGATTTCTCGTTCCATATCCTGGACATCTTTTTGCAGATTTTTCATTAGCGGCATTGCGTTATTTTCTTCTAATCGGTTTTCCGACAATTGTCTCCTCGGTGGCATGACTGATTTCGGTGCTTTTAGGTGGGAAAGAAAAAATTTGGGTGATTGATTTGAAAAATCAGCAAAGGAAATGTTTTTTTAGATGGCGTTTGGATTATAGGTAGTGGTGGATTTCGTTAACCCTGGGGTAGGATTAGGGTTAGACTTAGCTCTGATACCAAATTATACCGGAGTTAACTAACAACAATGAGAAAATCAAATAAGAAATTACACAACCCAACAAAACTGAAATATGAAATTGTTATAAATGACAAGCACAAACTCACACCAGGGTAGATATGTTGATGGCTGTCCCGAACAAACACACGACAAAAATTCATAATACAACACATGTACAACGAATGACTAGAAAGGAAGAGAACTTGCTAAAATGGAAAGAAACAATAATAAAAAAGTACCGGTTTCTTCTCCCGCCCACGTGGGATTCGAATGCCGCGCTACCCGGGACCACTGGCTCCCACTCCGACGTCACCTACTATAGAAGTGGGAGAACCTTGCATTAGCGCATGAAAGGGCTTCAAAACGAGCAATTACAAAGGCATATGTCAATCCTTCATTTGACGAGTTCCTTAGTCCAATTTTTTGCCCCAAGTGTAGGGTTCAGTCCAATATGACTTTAAGACAACAATAAAAATTGTTACGGTTTTGATCATTTTGAAAAATGAAAAATATCTGTTGACAAAGAAAAAGGGGTCAATCAGAGAGTTAGGATTATTTTTTTTTAAGAAAACCCAAGTTACCTAAATCATTTTTCTAAATAATTTGAAAGTTGAGGGGTAGGAGGTGGATTAAAAAGAGACATAACTATCAGTGAACTTTATTTTTCGAAGTGTTCAAAAGTCCTAGTTTATATGTTAGTACAGTTTGTATTCGATAACAACCAACAAAAATGCATGGTAGATGCTTTTTAATATTTTGTATTAAAAAGCATCTAGAGGTGTATTATATATCATCTAAATAATTTGAAGTGATGGAAACATGTGTCTAAAGTTCTACGGATTATTCTTAGATTTCTTCACCATTTATCTGCTTAAAAGTACTTCCTATTCTCTTCATATTCACTTTGCTGCACCTAGTCTGCAATCATCTAATTCAAAGTATTTTTTAAAAACTAAAATATGATAAACTGGACTATCATTGTGCTGACTTGGTGATTAGGACAATAGTCAGGCAGATGCGATTAAGATTCTCTAATTTCGGGAAACAAAAAGTAATTTTGTATTGTGGTAGGTTGATTTGGCAGAACCATTCATTTGGCAGCCTTTTGCTCATTCCTTTTAGGAAGATTTACATACACCCAATCATTATGTATCTACACATCTAACG